TCACCCTCACACTCACCCTCACACACTCACACTTACACACTCACCCTCACACACTGACCCTCACACTCACCCTCACACACACACCCTCACACACACCTTCACACTCACCCTCACACTCACCCTCACACACTCACCCTCACCCTCACACTCACCCTCACACACTCACCCTCACACACTCACCTTCACATTCACACCCCACCTCAATCTCACCCAGACAGACTCACACTTAGACCTAAACACCCAGACACACCCTCACATTCACACACTCACCCTCAATGTAACACTCACCTACACACACTGACCCTCACACTCACACACCTACCCTGACACGCACTCAACCTCACACTCACCCACACACTGACCCTCACACACACAGTCATCCTCAATCTCACACTCACCCTGACACACTCACTCTCACAAACTGACACCAACCCTCGCACTCACTCACACACACTGACCTTCACACTCACACACTTAGCCTGATACATGCACTCTCAACCTTACACTCACCCAAACACACCCACTCTCACACTCGATCCAATTTGATTCACTCCATATGATATCAAGAAACAGTTGGAGACACTGGACACTGCAAAGGCTATAGGCCCTGACAATATTCCGGCAATAGTACTGAAGACTTGTTCTCCAGAACTTGCTGCTCCCCTAGCCAAGCTGTTCCAGTACAGTTACAACACTGGCGTCTATCCAGCAATGTGGAAAATTACCCAAGTATGTCCTGTACATAAAAAGCAGGACAAATCCAACCCGGCCAATTACGGCCCCATTCAGTTTAGTCTCGATCATAAAGTAAAGTGATGGAAGGTGTCATTAACAACGCTGTGAAGCAGCACCTGCTCAGCAATAACCTGCTCAGTGACGCCCAGTTTGGGTTCCGCCAGGGCCACTCAGCTCCTGACCTCTTACAGCCTTGGTTCAAACATGGACAAAACAGCTGAATTCCAGAGGTGAGGTGAGAGTGACAGCCCTTGACATCAAGGCTGCATTCAACCGAGTGTGGCATCAAGGAGCCCTGGCAAAACTAGAATCCATGGGAATCCGGGAAAACTGTCCAGTGGTTAGAGTCATGCCTGGCACAGAGGAAGATGGTTGTGGTCGATGGAGGTCAGTCATCTCTGCTCCAGGACATCTCTGCAGGTGTTCCTCAGGATAGTGTCCTAGGCCCAACCATCTTTAGCTGCTTCATCAATTATCTTCCCTCAGTCATAAGGCCAGAATTGGGGATGTTCGCCAATGATTGCACAATGTTCAGCACCATTTGCAACTCTTCAGATACTGAAGCGATCCATGTCCAAATACAAGAAGATCTGGACAATATCCAGATTTGGGCTGGCAAGTGGCAGGTAACATTCATGCCATACAAATGCCAGGTTATGTCTATCACTAATAAAAGGCAATCTATCCACCGCCCCTTGACATTCCATGGCGTAACCATCACTGAATCCCCAACATCCTGGGAATTACCATTGACCAGGAACTTAACTGGACTCACCACATAAACAAAGTGGTTACAAGAGCAGGTCAGAGGGTAGGAATACTGCGGCAAGTAACTCACCTCCTGGTTCCCCAAAGCCTGTCCACCATCTACAAGGCACAAGTCAGGAATGTGATGGAATACTCCCCACTTTCCTGGATGAGTGCAGCCCCAACAACACTCAAGAAGCTTGACACCATCCAGGACAAAGCAGCCCACTTGATTGGCACTACATCCACAAGCATCCACTCCCTCCATCACCGACACTCAGTAGCAGCAATGTGTACTATCTACAAGATGCACTGCAGAAATTCACCAATGATTCACCTTCCAAACCCACAACCACTTCTAGAAGGATAAGACCAGTAGATATATGGGAACATCACCACTTTCAAGTTCCCCTTCAAACCAATCACCATCCTAACTTGGAAATATATCGCCATTCCTTCACTGTTGCTGGGTCAAAATCCTGAAATTCCCTCCTTAATAACATTGTGGGTCAACACACAGCATGTGGACTGCAGGGGTTCAAGAAGGCAGCTCACTACCACCGTCTCAAGGAGCAACGAAGGATGGGCAATAAATGCTGGCCGAGCCGGCGACGCCCATATCTCACAAATGAATAAATAAAAAAGAACACTCACACACTCACACTCAACCCCACACTCACAAACTTACCCTTAACCTCACACACTTATCCAAACACGCTCACCCTCACCCTCAACCTCACACTCACACAATCACCTTCAATTCACACTCATCCTCAACTTTACACAATCTCACAATCACCCAGAGACGTTCATTCACATAGACACCATCACACAACCGCCTCACACACACCCCAAACATACTCACCCTCACACATCCCCTCACATTCATACTCATTCTCAAACTCACACAGCCTCTCACACTCACACTGTCACTTACCCCTACACCCACACTGACACTTACACCCACCCTCATACTCATCCACATTCACTCTCACATACCTTCATATTCAGACTCACATTTTTTACTCATTGCTGGGATGAGGGCATCGCTGACCAGGCAACATTTATTGTCCATCCTTAATTGCCCAGAGGGCAGTTAAGAGTCAACCACATTGCTGTGGGTCACATGTAGGCCAGACCAGGTAAGGGTGGCAGTTTCCTTCCCTAAAGGACATTAGTGAACCAAATGGTTTTTTTTCCGACAATCAACAATCGACAATCGACAACATCATCATTAGACTCTTAATTCCAGATATATATTGAATTGAATTCAAATTCCACCATCTGTTGTGGCAGGATTCGAACCCAGATCCCCAGAGCATTATCTGGGTCTCTGGATTAACAGTCCAGCGATAATACGACTAGGCCATCACTTCCCCGAAAACTCATGCACACCCTCTTACACTCATTCAAACCCTCGTACACACAGGAACCTTCACACTCACATTAAGACATTCTTACAATCACACACTAACTACATATTCATCTACATACGTAGTGACACATTCTTACTCGCACACACTGTCACAGTCATAGTTACACCCAGTTAAATAAACAGCTGCTTTCACATTCACTCACAAATCCTCGTTCACACAACCTCTCACACTCACACACATTGACACACATCCTCAGACTCACATCGTCACTAGTGTTCACACACACATCCTCACACACTGACATTCTGTCTTTGTCTCTCATACACTCAACCCTGAACCTCTTGTGGTATCACACTCAGCCTCTAATAAGTACAGTTAGAGATCAGGAGAGAGACCTCTGACAATTGACTTTAGTTTCCATGGGGTGTCTGGCACACTGACCCTTCTTTTAGTGGTAAATAGTAAAGGTAAATAATTTTCCAACATGCTAAATAATTTCACACGCTCGTTGATAAGCTTGTGGTTATACTTTTAATGCTACACATTGCTTCTGACAAGTCTCTTTTTCCTGAATTTACCAGTAATTCTTTGGAGTTGGTTTTATTGTTCCTCCCAAGCTTCTCTTTATATTCCTTTTCTGTAGTGATTCTGTAGCCGTTTTGTCAAACTTTTCTTTTGTGTCGTGTCCTTTTTGAGTCTATAGGAAATATCTATTTTGGGAAATAGACCCCTACCGTGTGGAAGCAGGCCATTCAGCCCATTGAGTCCACACCAACCCTCTGGGGAGCATCCCATCCAATCTAATCCTTGTAACCCATGGCTAATCCACCTACATATCTTTGGACACAATGGGCAACTTAGTATGGCCAATCCATCTAACCTGCACATCTTTGGGCTGTGGGAGGAAACTGGAGCATCCAGAGGAAACGCACACAGACACATTTCCTTTAATGTTCTCGGTCCAGGGGAAATCATTGAATCCCTACAGTGTAGAAGCAGGCCATTCAGCCCATTGAGTTTACACTGACCCTCCGAACAGCATCCCACCCAGACCCGCCCCCCCCATCCCACAACCCCCAACCCCCAACCCCCAACCCCGAACCCTAATAAAAACCGAAAGAACTGCGGATGCTGTAAATCAGGAACAAAAACAAAGTTGTTCTGTTCTGAGGAAGGGTCACTGGACCCGAAATGTTAACTCTGTTTTTTCCTTCACAGATGCTGCCAGACCTGCTGAGCTTTTCCAGCAACTTTGTTTTTGTAACCCCAACCCTACATTTCCCAAGGCTAATCCACCTAACCTGCACAACTTTGAGCTGTGGGAGGAAACCAGAGTACCCAAAGGTACAGACACAGGGAAAACATGCAAACTCCATGCAGACAGTCACCTGAGAGTGGAATTGAACCTGGATCTCTGGTGCTGTGAGGCAGCAACGCAAACCACTGAGCCACCATGCCACCCCAACTATCTTTTGCTTACCCACTATCCAGTCCTTGGACACTTCCTCCCTATTCCTCAGCACAGTCAATT